CACACACACAGAGAGAGAGAGAATACAGGGAAAGGTAAGATGTTACACAAGCAGAGAGAAGGATATTGTATAACTCAAAATGAGGCGATGGCCTGCAGGAGGAGGAAGGAGAGGACATCACTACTGCAGGACGCAGAAGGAGCCCAGGAGTGAGGAAATGACACATGCACAGCGACATGTTTTACCACACTGGATGACAAACACTGACAAGGTCATTTCAAATTGTCACTTTGTATCTGTGCTTCGTCCAACTCGACAGAGACACACTCCACTTCTCACATGACATTTATCACAAAACGCATGGAAGTCGCTAAGTGTGTATGTGTGCAATCATGAGTACAACGTCTTATCTCTCAGCATTCATACCAATCATGTTTGGAGCAGTGTGACCTGTGAGTGTCAACGTGTTTACTCCTTTAGTTCAGCTTGATTCAGGTGAATACAATGGCCCAAGTAAAAAGCGGTTAGTGTGTGAGGCGCAGTACTCTGCCAAGCACAATGTGTTGGGCTAATTATGAGTGAGAACATTATCTCAATCGATGACAAGTTACAACCCCAAAGCACAAGGCGTTTATTAGTACAAAAACACAGATGTTAGCATAAATATTCAGCTTTGTGTGTTCGTCATTGGTATGAATGCCATTAAAAATCAGATAAGAGACAGTGCAGGCAGGTCCGTCATGCTTAGGTTAAGTTGCAGGAATCAGATTAGTTTCCTTTCCCTCATGCTGCCAAAATGTCTATCTATCCTTGGCCGGGTGACAGGATACCAAAACACTGGCCAAAAACATGCTTTCGTTTACAAGCCGTAGTTCACTTGTAAACGGGGCAGTGTGATCTAATGCAAATATGTAATGAAGTCATTATTCACACACTGTTTTTGGCCAAAGAAAATAAACTGTAGATGCGATTGCAGCCTTGTGTTTCTCATGTGAGAACACACCGATTCCTAAAGACGCTGATGCTGTCCCCTTTTCTGAATGTGGTGTACCTGTCGAGACGAGGAAAACAGATTCTTCCTCTGTCAATAACCATTCACCCTTCTGTTACCTTCTACTGACCCATCACAAGTTTAGCTAAAAACAACATCTGGATGACAAAAAAGGACCTAGACAGCATGTGACGTTGGTCTGATTTGGAATATTCTGTGTGGATACACATGACTCTACCCTGAAGAACTGGCAAAGTCACCAAATATGTATTTGTGATAATTGGAAAATAAATAACTGCACGTTAATAGTGAACTATTTGTGCAATATTAAAGATAATCATGTTACAATGCAACCTCTTGTTCATATGGGAAATAAGCTATATTATATAATGAATCAATGAACATGTTGATTTGATTGTTTTCTCAGTAGAACATTTATTTTTGGAAATGCTGAGAGAAGTTAAATGTTAAATAACGGAAACTTAAAACACCCTGCACATCTTGCTGCTGATGTAGAGGTGTACTTCAGCCTAGTTACTATTACTAGTTACCATTTAAAAAGTTCAGTTATTGTTGAGAATACTGTTTTAAAATCGGTTGTTAGTAAAAAATATGGTATTTTTCTAAACTGTAGGTAGTGGTGGTATATTGAAAGGGGTTTTTTAATATTTGCTGACCTCATTTACATATATGGTGGAGCAAAAAGTTTACAAACACCTTAGATTATAATGCAGTAATCCGGTACCACTACAATCTTTAAATAACAGTTATCTGCATGCCAACAATAATTAAAGATGATAAATAAAAAAATTGCCCAAAAAATGTAAATATCTCAAACGTTTTCGAAAGTTTAGCTTTAGGTGGAAAAGTTGGTGTATCGATAAAAGCTAAATATGACAAAGTGCAATAGAAATGACGTACATGAACAAACGAAACTTTGCATCTACTAAAGAGACAAAAAATTTAATCAGCGCAACAAACTGTTTATCTCGATGAACCAACTCCTAATAATCCCACAACGGCAGTCGGCAGAAGAATACATTAACATTTTCTTTTGCCAATTTCCTCTAAACATGGTTTAAATTTCTACTATATTTGGATGGAAACTTAGCTGCTGTCACATCTTGTCCTACGCATTTTAGCAATTATCTTTGGAATATCAGAAACACCAAACTATATGGGCCCAGGAATGCATGGGACGCCACACAAAGCATTCTTCCCTCTTTTGTTAAAAAATGTTACGGTGACAAAGGGATGGAGTTTCCCTTTAAGCTTTAATAAGTTCAAATGTCTCCCTGAGAAAACACCAAAGACAAAACAACCTGACTAACTAACTGACAAAGGACCTTTGAAGTAACATCTCTGGGAAACATGATGAGCATCACAGTGACGCTCGATCTTTGTTGTTGTATTAACACAACTTCTCTTCAGGGCTCAAAAAGGATCATTACGCCTTACACCACTACAAAGAAGATCTACTTGTACCACACAACATTATCGTCACTAACGAAACGTCAAACTACTTTGTGTACCGTCTTGTAACGACAAGGAACTCTATACAACTGGATGTTACAGCTACAAAAAAAGAAAAAGAAAAAAAGTTGACGACTTGCACAAATTAACACCACTCTACACCCAACCTGAACGGTGCTGCTGTATCGACAGCACGCTCAACAGTGACAGTAGGACAGCAGTAAAGATAAACATCGGCTGACACACCCAGAGCCTAATCAAAGTGCAGCGCTCTGTGACGGCTGACGACATTCAATTACTCATATGTAAACACTAGACGGGTACGACCAAGCGTGAGAAAACAAGAGCACCGTACGCGCCAGACCACAGACGCCAACCAGAGCGAGAGAGAGCAGACACAAAACCCAAAACACACCAGAGTGATGCTTTTCAACACTGTTGTACATGCATGACATATGCAAATGCACTTATTCTGAAAACAGTGCCTGAACAGTGTTTGACATCAATGACAGAGACTGACACAAATCAGCCAGTCCGACACTTGGCCTCGACATGCATGACACGCACAATAACGCACACACAAGCTGCCGGTGAGCCACTTAAGCGGTGATGTATGCAATGTTGTCCCTGGTGTGGATTACACTTAAGGGACATGACGTCAAACACACGCACACGCACACACACGCTCAGACATCGTACCTGACACTCTCCTGTTGAATCTGCTGGGTGGTGGAGCTGTGGAGAGAGAGAGAAAGAGAGGTGAAATTAACATCATTGTCTTTACATAATGACATTTAATACGATTTTGTGATTGCTTTGAAATCCTCATTACCATTATCTGCTCTGAACAGACGGTGTTCATAGCAATAACTGAAGTGAGAGAAGGGGATTTAGAAAAGGAAAAAGGGACGAAAAGACTGACAGTAAGTCAGTGTGACAGTCAGCATTGGAGAAAGAGAGAAAGACGCAGACAGTCAAACAGATAAGGGCAACAAGAGGTGAAGAGATAAAAAGTAAGACACGATCAGAAGATACAGGCGGATGTGAAGAAAAACAGAGCGAGAGACAGAGCGTAACCAGGAAAGAAGACGTGAGCTAAGAGATGAATTCAAAGTATTTTTAGTATTGCAAAGTTAATATTTTCTTCATACACATGAATGCTACTGTGAGTAGTGGCTACAGCCTCCAGCGGTATCATCACACACACCTTTTACAAATAGCAGGATAATTTTTTCATGACTGCAAATTGAAAACTAATAAAACAAAACCTGATCAAACTCAGCAGCAATAATCACACAAGGACTGCCTGAGGCCAAACCGATGTGAGAGGATTAACAAATAACTTAATAAGAGGCCTCACAGTTACATGAAGTGAAATATTCATAAAGAATCATGTATTAGAGAGAAAGGTCGAAAGGGTAATGACAGTTGTGTTCCAGCAGCTTCCATAATATATAATCAATTTGGCTGTCTGAACCAGCAACACATTTCTTTCCACAAATATTGACAGGAACCCCATCTTTATTTTTGAGGCCAGCGACGGCCGTGTTTCTGTGTTCATGACAAATGGACAAAGAGGTTCGCGGGTTGTTTACGTCTCGACTTGACAAGCAGACTGCCGATGTAGCAACGCGCTGTTTAGATGCACAGACACTTTTGGGACACTGTTAACGTTCCTGAGCAACGAGGACGGCACATCTGATGTCCGTCTGCTTTAAAATTCAGTATTCGAGGACTCACAACAGCAGGCGCCTGTCCAACTGAAGTGTTTCCCTTACGCAAAACACAGAACCAAGAGAGCTGTCGAGTGACTGACCCTGATCTCTGACACCCTTGCAGATCTCTGCCAGAGAGATTATTGGAATATACTGGGGAGAAATAGATCATAAAAGATTGTCAAATCCATTAAACCTCGCTGTAAAAGGCCCTACTGCAGGCTCTTTCAGACCTCGCATCTAGGTCTGACCCTGTAATTAAAGAATTCAATGTCTTTCCTAACAAAAGACCATAGCTGATCACACTGTTCAGCCTGTTCAGAAAGCAAACATTGTGCCAATCAATGTGTTTATATTCACATTAATACTCACGTATTATTCAAGATACTAATCTATTTAAGTGTTGGCCCACCAGAACACCACGTGCCTCTTTCACTAGGCCAGATGAGCGAGATGCAAATGTAACAGGTGAGAGACACTGATATTAGCCAGTAAAAATAGCACAGTCTAAATGTATTATGCTGTTATGAGAGTAATGGTTCTATCCAAATAATATTTAATAGAATAATAATCCTTGTATACAGAGGTGTTTGCAATCAGGACATTAAGCTGATTAACAGCCTAATCCAAATCCACTCCTCACAATAACACAAGTCTTAAAAATGTTTAATTACCAGCATAGCAGTGCAAACAAATGTAAGTGGTATATGCATTTGTATTGTTTAGATTAGTGGGTAACCAGTCTTACGCTGTTGAAAAGTGGCGTTTGCTCCACATGGCAGCAGCTCTACTTTTCAGGCTTTGCCCAACCAGCAGCCTCTTGCCTGCAGGCTTTCCATAGACACGGCTCCAGGCAGGGGCTGGGGAGACCCTGGGGCGAGGGGTCTTTGGCTGGTTTACAAGGGTAGTTTACTAGTGAATTACGACTAGTAAAAGGTAGTAGGCTCCATGTACTGTATGTAAAAGCACACATTGTAAATACGGAAATATCAGTTTTAATGTTTGTGTCAGCAATCCTTTCATGTTTCAGCAGTTTTATTCAATGGTTGTCATTCTGTGAACAATCTTTCCATGCAACATGTTGCCAGATGATACAGAACCCAGTTACCCAGTGTTTGTAACAACATCAAAGCAAATGTAGCAAAAACATCCTGTGCTGGGCAGAGGGTGCTTCCTGGAAATGTCTAAACAGCAGCAGTAATGGAGTTTAATTTGAGGTCACGATTTTAGTGCCGTGCACTTGACACTTGAGAGCATGGATGGGCAATATGGCCCCTAAAATAAACCGCATGTGAGCGTGTATGTACAGTATGTGTGGGTGTATGCCTGCATTCTGTGTGTATGGATTGTGGCCGTGTGCAGCATTTGAGGGCAGTATAGGGGCACTGTGACCTTGTGAAGGTGTAAATGTGCGTAACAGGGTGTCATAATTTACGCACACACAGAGGGTGAGGTCAGGGTCCTAAACACCTGCTTTGTAACACAGGGCTGTTACTAGCCAGCATGGACATTGCTCACTGCTGCCACACGCATACACACACGCACAGTGTGTGTCCATTGCTACCTTATTACCATCTTGTCAGAGCCCATTAGATCTAGACTGTGAAGACGGGAGCCTGGGGGAAACTCGCACACACACAGCACTTTCCCCCGGTCACCTGGGGAGATGGGCAGAGTTTAACACTCTACTCTCCGTGGAGATCATTCTTACTATCACTCAGCACAGATCAAGCAACAGGACACTGACAGTTGTGGCATGTGCAAGGGAATTCTTTTCAATAAAGGCTTGTCTCTCTTTTTTAGGAAATGAGCTGGTTGAAAGGGATTTTGGTTTTTATAACACATAGTAAAAGAGTGACTTCTGCATTTTGTAAACCTTCTGATAGTCTGTTTTTTTTATGGTGTGGCATGTCAGTTTTAACTTCACATATCATCCGACGACATTGCCCCTACAGATGCTTCTCATTCCTGCCTTGACCCGCATTTGTTACTAAGCCTTTAATGTTGTTTAGTACACAGGGTCACAATTTACAACAACGACAAGTGCCACATTGAGTTACCTAGGGCCTCGCCGGCGACATCCGCTGAGGACCACGCACTCCACCCAGAACTGAAAGTGCCAAACACCAAATAAAGTTGTCTTGGCAGATACTGATTTCCTTGCAGGCTACAGTACACTGACAGCCTGACCATTAAACAATCAAAACAAAGCAAAACCATGGCCATATTGAACAAGCTCCTATGAGATTGACATAAAAACATCATACGAGTACGGATACAAAAGACACTTTAATTTATTCTGAACAGCATCTTTTATTGAGTATAGCTTTTTTATTTACTATCTATATGATTAAACATCACCTGTTGCATGTTTACATAATGCGTTGGTATCTAATGGCCATATTTGTGTACTGACATTTATTCAATCTTCTAAGCAGCTTTCAAGATTGTTGAATTAGACCAGCTTCTAAGTGGGTTGCAGTGCTGCTGTCATTGGCTGAGCCATTATGACCCCCTTCTCCCCCTCAAACAAGTTTGTGGCCTTAAGACACTTCAACGGAAATCCTCATGTCTGTTTTTAAAAGAACCTGAGTGTTTAGCTCTCAGTACTTTACTTTTGAAGTTTAGTTTCTCTCCTGAGTCCCTGTTTTAGACGAGTTTATCACCAAATTTGGGAAGCTTAGTTCTGCTGTATTCCGCTGTTCCCGCTCTTCATTCAATCTTTCTTAACCACTGCTGCCCTCTCTGCCTTTAAAGACACACCTTTAAGCGTGTTCTCCTGTTGTAATGGAGATGCAAAAGATGTCATACCGAGTCAATAAGCCAGCACATGTGTATGATAAAGGGCTCACTGTATGTAACTAATGCAAGCCATGCTTTTTTTTTTTTTACAGATACAGAATGTACACAAACTGAAAAAGTATGAAGGTTCATGTTTCATGTATAGTGCCTTCACTCGATGTTTTTCACTAGTTTGCACTCTATGATGGAGGTCATTAATAAGTCAATCATTCGATTGAGGAAATAAAGCGTTATTAGTCTTCCCTCTTTTGAGCCAAGGATGTGACATGTGCATGTGATGAGTTGCATCAGAAAATAAAAGGAAAAGAAAATTCACAGTGGTAATGGATAGCAACTTATCCGAATCCAAAAAATACACGGCACTTTGCATGACTGTCTACTCACAGAAGCCTTCCTCTCTTTATATTACATTTATTATATTAGATACTAGATATTTGAACTCAGAACAGTCCAATGATCTGCAACATGTCTCATGAAAGAACTAGAGCTGAACTGAGAGCTGAACTGAGAGCTGAACTTCTAACTACTCAATTGATTTCTAAAGGATGTAAACAATCTCTAAACCATGTTTGGTTGTCTGCCAACAAGACTGGCAGACAACCCTACCAGCCACAGCCAAAATGGAGTATGAAATGAGTAGCAACTGAGTCCATTCTTTGACCTGTCTCCCTTAGTCTCTCTTTCACTTCGATCCCATTCAAGCATTTGTAGGGTATAGCCAACACTGTGGCAGTGCTAACAGACATTCTTGTGGTGATTACTATCACAATGTGACTGTTAAAAATACTATAAATAAACATCAAACAGATTTAAATTCTTAATCAGACTTCTTGTGCACAGAGGATCTTAGCCTCTTCTTTTCATTTGCGTCAATTCCAACCCTCTTTCTACAAAAGGAATATGGTGTAAGTAGTAGTAATACACTCCCATGAGTTCAACACTATTCTCAGTTTCTCGTGCTCCCTCCTTTTTGTCATTTATTGTATATCTCGCCCCCTCAGCTGTCTCAAAGGAACAGACCTTCCTCCTCCGTATTGTTTCCTAAGCTTCATGACTCCTTTTCTCTCCCTCCGTCTTCTGTTTTGCATCAGTCTGGTTCATCTCCTTAACCCCAAGACATTGGACTTGAGTTGTTGGGGATTGTAACAATGGCAGATAAAAAATAGTTTGTGGTGTATTGTCCGAGACATTTTCTAATTTAATGTTTTCAACATTAAG